GAGTACAAGTTATAAAACGACAATGACCTACAACTGTTATAACTACACACAAGACAACTGACGAATCCACACTTATGACCACACCGCCGGCTACAGTATCGACAACGCTAGGGACAACTCAAGGACCCACTTCGGTAAATCACAAAAACAGACTTGAACTGCCTTTGATGAAGAACCCACTCATTTTAAGTTAATTAAAGGTCCCTTTATGTATATGTAACACGTTTTATGAAGAGTCTTCTAACTTCTTTAAACATGTGTTTGAAAAACATCTGTTTATGATTGTGGCAACGCAAAAGACGCTAGCATTCTTCTTTTCCACTTTGATGCAGACACAGACTACATTAAGTACGACTGAAAGAACGACAAAGCCCACGACCGTTCTGACAACACAAAGCACAACACAAAAATCCACCCTAGTCACCTCACAGTCCAGTACATTATCAACAACGCGACGAACAACCCAAACACCTACAACGGTACTACTACACAACAGAATGGAACTGCTCTTAAAAATACAAACCTTTTTTAGTCTGCTTTAGACAATTTCATTATAACTTTCTTTACAAACTGCGCGAGCCCATTAACATGACTTGCAACTGATGTTCTTGTTCACGACCTTAACAACGTTATTGACGTATACGTGCTTCTTTTTCTTAATTCAATGCAGAGGCAAACGACATTGAGAACAAGTTATAAAACGACAATGCCTACAACTGTTATAACTACACACAAGACAACTGACGAATCCACACTTATGACCACACCGCCGGCTACAGAATCGACAACGCTAGGGACAACTCAAGGACCCACTTCGGTAAATCACAAAAACAGACTTGAACTGCCTTTGATGAAGAACCCACTCATTTTAAGTTATTTTAAGGTCCCTTTACTGTATATGTAACACGTTTTAAGATGAGTCTTCTAACTTCTTCAAACATGCGTTTGCAGAACATCTGTTTATGATTGTGTCAACGCAAAAGACGCTAGCATTCTTCTTTTCCACTTTGATGCAGACACAGACTACATTAAGTACGACTGAAAGAAATACAAAGCCCACAACCGTTCTGACAACACAAAGCACAACACAAAAATCCACCCTAGTCACCTCACAGTCCAGTACATTATCGACAACGCGACGAACAACCCAAACACCTACAACGGTACTACTACACAACAGAATGGAACTGCTCTTAAAAATACAAACCTTTTTAGTCTGCTTTAGACAATTTCATAATAACTTTCTTTATAAACTGCGCGAGCCCATTAACATGACTTGCAACTGATGTTCTTGTTCACGACCTTAACAACGTTATTGACGTATACGTGGTTCTTTTTCTTAATTCAATGCAGAGGGAAACGACATTGAGTACAAGTTATAAAACGACAATGCCTACAACTGTTATAACTACACACAAGACAACTGACGAATCCACACTTGTGACCACACCGCCGGCTACAGTATCGACAACGCTAGGGACAACTCAAGGACCCACTTCGGTAAATCACAAAAACAGACTTGAACTGCCTTTGATTAAGAACCCACTCATTTTAAGTTATTTTAAGGTCCCTTTACTGTATATGTAACACGTTTTAAGAAGAGTCTTCTAACTTCTTCAAACATACGTTTGCAGAACATCTGTTTATAATTGTGGCAACGCAAAAGACGCTAGCATTCTTCTTTTCCACTTTGATGCAGACACAGACTACATTAAGTACGACTGAAAGAACGACAAAGCCCACGACCGTTCTGACAACACAAAGCACAACACACACCCTAGTCACCTCAGAGTCCAGTACATTATCGACAACGCGACGAACAACCCAAACACCTACAACGGTACTACTACACAACAGAATGGAACTGCTCTTAAAAATACAAACCTTTTTTAGTCTGCTTTAGACAATTTCATTATAACTTTCTTTATAAACTGCGCGAGCCCATTAACATGACTTGCAACTGATGTTCTTGTTCACGACCTTAACAACGTTATTGACGTATACGTGCTTCTTTTTCTTAATTCAATGCAGAGGCAAACGACATTGAGTACAAGTTATAAAACGACAATGCCTACAACTGTTATAACTACACACAAGACAACTGACGAATCCACACTCATGACCACACCGCCAGCTACATTATTGACAACCGACAAATCCACACTAGTGACCACACAGCCAACTACATTATCGACAACGAGACGGACAACCAAACCTACCACTACCGTAACGGTAAAATGGAAAAATAAACGAATTTCATCATCATAACATTTCCCCAAATCAAGCTTTCTTTGCACAAACATCACCTTATTCTTTACTCCATGCAGATGCAGACTACGTTAAGCACAAGTCATAAAACAACGATGCCCCCAACTGTTCTGACTACGCAGAGGACAACCGACGAATCCACACTAGTGACCACACCGCTAACTACAGTATCGACAACGCTAGGGACAACTCAAGGACCCACTTCGGTAAATCACAAAAACAGACTTGATCTGCCTTTGATGAAGAACCCACTCATTTTAAGTTAATTTAAGGTCTCTTTACTGTATTTGTAACACGTTTTTAAAAGAGTCTTCTAACTTCTTCAAACATGTGTTTAAAAACATCTCCTGTTTATGATTGTGCCAACGCAAAAGACACTAGCATTCTTCTTTTCCACTTTGATGCAGACCACAGACTACATTAAGTACGACTGAAAGAAATACAAAGCCCACAACCGTTCTGACAACACAAAGCACAACACAAAAATCCACCCTAGTCACCTCACAGTCCAGTACATTATCGACAACGCGACGAACAACCCAAACACCTACAACGGTACTACTACACAACAGAATGGAACTGCTCTTAAAAATACAAACCTCTTTTAGTCTGCTTTAGACAATTTCATTATAACTTTTTTTACAAACTGCGCGAGCCCATTAACATGACTTGCAACTGATGTTCTTGTTCACGATCTTATCAACGTTATTGACGTATACGTGCTTCTTTTTCTTAATTTAATGCAGAGGCAAACGACATTGAGTACAAGTTATAAAACGACAATGCCTACAACTGTTATAACTACACACAAGACAACTGACGAATCCACACTTATGACCACACCGCCGGCTACAGTATCGACAACGCTAGGGACAACTCAAGGACCCACTTCGGTAAATCACAAAAACAGACTTGAACTGCCTTTGATGAAGAACCCACTTACTATTTTAAGTTAATTAAAGGTCCCTTTATGTATATGTAACACGTTTTATGAAAAGTCTTCTAACTTCTTCACACTATGTGTTTAAAAACATCTGTTTATGATTGTGGACAACGCAAAAGACGCTAGCATTCTTCTTTTCCACTTTGATGCAGACACAGACTACATTAAGTACGACTGAAAGAACGACAAAGCCCACGACCGTTCTGACAACACAAAGCACAACACAAAAATCCACCCTAGTCACCTCACAGTCCAGTACATTATCGACAACGCGACGAACAACCCAAACACCTACAACGGTACTACTAGACAACAGAATGGAACTGCTCTTAAAAATACAAACCTTTTTTAGTCTGCTTTAGACAATTTCATTATAACTTTCTTTACAAACTGCGCGAGCCCATTAACATGACTTGCAACTGATGTTCTTGTTCACGACCTTAACAACGTTATTGACGTATACGTGCTTCTTTTTCTTAATTCAATGCAGAGGCAAACGACACTGAGTACAAGTTATAAAACGACAATGCCTACAACTGTTATAACTACACACAAGACAACTGACGAATACACACTCATGACCACACCGCCAGCTACATTATTGACAACCGACAAATCCACACTAGTGACCACACAGCCAACTACATTATCGACAACGCGACGGACAACCAAACCTACCACTACCGTAACGGTAAAATGGAAAAATAAACGAATTTCATCATCATAACATTTCCCCAAATCAAGCTTTCTTTGCACAA